TGACTCTATCAATAACAATAGACAAATAAGAAATATGTTTTGAGATGTGCAGCTATAAATCAATGTTTGGAAGCTGTGTTGATAGCAGATCAGGCTCCCTTAGTATATCACATGATTCACATCAACTTTACATTTATGGGTCTCATGGATTAGATAGATTTTAGCTTCGGTCAATGCAAGTCCATGCTCACACCATTCGAATAGCCATTTGCAATTTTACATTGGGAATATCTCTCCATAAAATAAAGCACATAAATACGGAGATATTCTCAATGCCAAGACTATAAAGGCTGTTCGAACAGGGTTGCGCTGAAGGAAATTAAACTGGGTTAGATAGGGGTAGCATATCATGATTGGCTAAATATTGCCCCCATCCATAGAGGATTCAAGCAGTTCAATCTCGGGTATGGGAAAAGTTAGGACCCCATGTTCAATGTACACCCTAAACCAAAACATGTGGTATTTATACATGGGTTCCAAACATTTCCAAAGTGAAGCATTTTAACCTTTTGAAAGACAATCTCAGCTTGCTGCATTGGAAAAGTGTAAATATTGATTCAATGTATATATGCATTCTGGTTCAGTTTTGCAAGTATTTGATAAGAATGTATTTATGTATTGATAATATCAATATATGGATTTCAAGACATGTTTACAAACGAGAGCAATGTATGCAAATTTTTACATTCAAGTTATTCAATGTAAAGAAGGTGGATTTTAGTGTAGGAATTCATATTTTTACCTATCAGATCATTTGGCAAAAATACAAAATTATCAGTACATTTGCATTTTATGAACCAAACATATTTATATTTGTACTTTTCCCAAACACAACCTAAGAATGCAAATGCAAAACCAAGGAGAATTTGTTCTTTGGTTCAGTTTTGCAGTTTTTTGGTAAGAACATGTATGAAAGTATATTTGTTTTTTTAATGGCATTTTTGTATTCAAGATTGGACTGCAGTTTGCTTTCAAAATATAGAAGCAGACTTTTACACTCAAAGTTAATCAATATAATGAATCATCAAGAAAAAGTTTATCAATATAATAAAGATAAATTCTAGTCTTCAATTTTATACTTGTATCCATCACAATCAAACACAATACAAAATTTTTTCAATGCAAAACCGAATCAAACTTACATTTTCACTTTTAGCTCAGTTTGGAAAGAGTACAAATACAAATCGTACATATAAAATACAGGGTTTTGCACCCTACATACTTGTATTTGTACTCCTTTCAAACTGAGTTTTTAGATTAGATTTGCATTTACATTGATACATATGCTTTTTATACTTGTATTTGTACTCCTTTCAAACTGAGTTTTTAGATTAGATTTGCATTTACATTGATACATATGCTTTTTACACTCTTACCAAATGCAACACATATGTTTTTTACCCTCTTACCAAACTCAATTCGGAAGGAGTACAAATATAAATATGTACAATGCAAATTCATACAAAATAATACAAAATACATATTCTATTTCTGATTAGGTACATGAAATTCAAATACCACCATCTAAAGAACATTTGCATTGCCGTACCCAAAGGGAAAAAAAAAAAAAAAACATTTGAATTCCTAATTGGAGGCTCTCAACTTCTGGCCCTTTAGTAAATTCAACCCAACTAGAGTTATCCAAAACCCTAAAGAATTGGCCCTATTATCTTCTCCCTCAATCCCATTTCAATTTAATCCATAGACATCTTGGGAATTTATTTGTGAAGTTTTTCAGATTTGGAGACAGAGAGTGATAAAATGAGCATCGTTCTCATGTGAGTGCTTCATTCATATCACCTTACTTTTGCAGAGTAATGTGTTTAAAAAGTAGAAATCCTACACATTGTGTTTTGCCATTGAATGATGACTAAAGGAAAATGCTCAATGCCTTGAGGGTTCTAGGAAATTTCCAAGCCAACCGGTGACAAGTACAAATCATTCTCACTTAGTGTTCTCATCACTCAAATCATATCAATATTTTCTTTTAAAGAGTAGCGTTGAATTGAAAAGCATTTCATTGTAGATGGCCATGTAAAAGATGGACATAAAACAAGAAGGCATGAATGAATACATTGCGTATCAAGACCAAGGCCCAACAAGTATGTCTTAATCTGAACTCTGAAGCATCCCTCTACGGCTTTAGGGAAGCAAACAAATCGTTTACGTTTAAGAATAAACAACCAGTTAAGGGGTATGTTCATGGGTCAATTTGGTTTGGTTGTAGGCGGTTTGGTCAATTGAGCTGATCTAGTTGGGTTGGAGAATTGGTCATCCAAAATCGACCAATCACTAGTTCAGGATGTATCAGTTTGAATCAGTTTTTGGTTTGCTCGATCGGTTCAGAAGATTTAAACTTAAAGAGTTAAATTTAAGCCAAATTCTTAAGGATGGGCCTGAATTGAACTAAAACCTAGCCTAGCCCATCCAACTTGCACCCCTAGTTAATATCCTGTAACCCCTCCTCATTCTTTGTATTATGTATTTGGAATTTAGATGAGTACTTACGAACAAGGATTAAAATATTGATACTATATACCACATATCGAATATATTATATCTATAGTGGTGCATCCAGATACGTATAGATACATTGATATAAATGTTTTTTTTTTAATATTTAAAACTTTAAAGCAAAAATAAAAATAAAAAACAAGCAATATCGATGTGTCTCAACTCTCAATACGATTCATACCCCTTGTTTCTTTTTTTACCTTTTTTTTTATTTTATAGGTATTAGAGGGTCTCATCATTATTTTAAAATTTTAAATAATTTAAAAGACTTTGTATCAACATATCCATTTGGATGCACCAAGATAGATACAAGACATACCATATTATTATGGGAAAAGTACAGACAGGCCTGATGCAGATATCTGAATTTCACTGCAGATTTGTAAAAATTCAAAATGTCAAATATCTCATTCTGAGTTGTCACTCACCCCAACTGTACTTTGGGCCTAAAAATTCTGACCCTAGGCTGAACCGTCATTCTCTCTATTATTATTATTATTATTAGTAATAAAAAATGATCAAATTATTAATTTAATCATTGGTCGATTGGTATGATTTGTTATCAGCTTTTTATGGTCAAACCAGGGGAAAGAAATAAGAAAAGGGGAAGGAGATATAACCGAAATGGATATTCTAACTTTTTTATCCATCATATATGCTGTAGCCTGTAATGGTGATCATTTCATTTGTTTTTTTGTACATATAATAACTATAATGGACAAATGACGTATTTACTTTTAAACCCTTCTAGCATCATGTTGGATTCGATTTGTCTTCTATAGCATGGGCCCCGCTAATAACCCATTAAATACAACCTACCGAAAATTAAATACATAAAAAAGGCCCATCAATCTACTGATTTACAACTACTCGATTGGTAAAAGCCTAAAAAGCCTTTCTCCCCAAAAGCTTTGTTTGCGGTAAAACCAATTCATTGGGGAGGGGGTTGGCTTCAATAAACTTTTTTTCTGAATTCTATTGAGTTTCAGTTGGGTCTACTGATATCTCTTTTCATATATTCTTTTTCCCATTTCCGTTGAGGCTTTGGTTTGGGCTCAATTAGAAGAATTGGTTGCCTGATTCTTGGTGGGATTTCAAGTTTGAATTCACTCAGGTTTACTTCACAACACAGCCTTAAATTCAAGTTTTGTGATTTACATTTCAAGTTTTGTGATTTATACAACGCTCACAACACAAACCAAATACAGCTTTAATTAAAGTTTTGTCACACATTTAATATGTGATTTACATTTATAAAACCGAGCTCATTAAATTATGAACATCTAAATCTGATGTAATAGCTTTCAAAAGAAATCTGAAATAACTAAGGGGATGTTTAGTAAGTCTTTTTTGAAAGACCTTTTGGAAGTTTTGACAGTCAAAAGACAATGTAAGTTTTTGCATCATAGATTAAAGACCGTTGGGTTAAGGCGTGTTTATCCATGCGTCTTTCTGCACAAAGATGAATTGAACAAAAAAAAGAAGCAAAAAACTCTATTTAGAACTTTTCGAAAATAGATCGAAATGAATTTCCTGTATCTTTTGAGGGCTGCAACTTTTGGCGGCTAAATCTTTTCCCAATCAAACAGAAAAAGAATAAAATACAGACTGTCAGACTTCTAAAAAACCAATAACCAGCACTCAAAGACACCTAAAATGGGATCTAAGATGACAAAATTTAGGCTGTATTTAGATGAGCTTCAGGATCTAATATGTACTTTTATAGCTTCAATCAAAGCACAAAAGCATAGTGCGTAGTGCCTATTTGAGAAGTCTGAATCATAACAACTTCAGGCTTTTCCGAGATGGATCGCACATGGAAAGACTATAAGTTATATTTAGTAAGCCCAAATCAACTGTCAAATGTCAGACATTCTAAGGGGCTATTCACTTCAACCTTCTTTAAATAATTTATTCAGAGCATTCCAAAGCATCTTGGATTTTCAGTTCAATCCTCCAAAATGGTCCCTTAATTTTGGGAGATAAAAGTTTATTCACTTTTAGATAAAAATCTATTATAATACTTGCTTTGAATTCCACGTGGGTCATAAAAACTGAATTCAAATATATGTATCATGATACTTACTTGTACTGATACATAGTAGCATGTGCTGGCTTTACATTTGTAATAATTGTAACAGATAATCAACGAACAAAACAGGCTGAAACAAAAATTAACAAAAAGAAAAAAAGTGAACAAAACTTCTTTTCGGGGCGGAAGCCTTCTGGCTGAATACTTGGGCTAGTGGGCTTGGCTACCCATATCTAACATTCAGAGCCCAGTCCCGCATTGACGGGAAATTCAGACAACAGAATCTTTGTGAACATTTACTTTGCCAACTTGCCACGTGGCAAGTTTCATGTCCACCCTATTTCATTCATCCCGCGGGGTGTTCGTGAAATTGTTTGCACGAAAAAAAGTTAAGAGGGATGCACGAGTCTTTTGGGCCACGGTTTTTAAAACGAAGCCTCGCTGGCGCGTATAATGTAATAGTTGGTCGGCAAGCTCACATGGCGATGGCGTTTGCATCGTATCAAACAGGAGAGAGAAATAAAAACAGGAGAGAAGGAGGATACTAGAAATACCTCGAAAACGGAGACTCCGCTATATTTTCCTTCCGCTATCCCTTTTTAGTTTTCTCTCCTTTTCAATCCACCTTCTAAAAACCGGAGATTGAGAGAGAAAAGGAAGAAAATAAGGAAAAGAAATCAATAAAGCTTTTATCAAAACATCGACCATTTTTTTCGCCATGTCTGTGCGAAGGCGAACGTTGCTGAAGGTCATTGTTCTCGGCGACAGTGGGTATGATTTTAGTTTTAATTTGGGTTTCTTTGTTTATTGTTTGTTTTTTCTTGAATTAAGCTTGTGATTTCTCGTGAATAATTTTGTTTCGTTGTTTCTACATTCCAGGGTGGGGAAAACATCTTTAATGAATCAGTATCCTTTGACGACGGTTTCATCTGATGGATATGTTCTTTGATTTCTTGTTGCTTCTATCAGTGAGCAATTGCTAGATCTTTTATTGCAATTTTCCTTATTTGTGCAGAATTTGAGCTACATGTTTTGTTATTAGAAGTTTTGGAGACTGATTTTGTTCTGTAGTCGCTTTTTATTTCTTACGAATTGTTTCCGTTTGAGATTTTTTTTTTTTTTTTTTATCGTGATTTGATGGTATAAGAGTTGACCATTTTTCCGTATATGTTTTCCATCTTTACAATTATGACGTTTATGCTGTTGAGAAATTGAGGATTGAGTGGTGCATCATTCTTGATCCGGTCAGTTGGGAAGAAGGGTTATTGTAACTTTACCTATTAATTGCGCTGGGTTTGGAAATCGATGACTTAGAACTCGTAGGTTTCTCTTGGAATTATGTTTAAATGCTAGTTCAAGTGCTACATTTTGACTGAGTAAAATTTTTGAAATTTGTATATGTGGGTCGTCGTTAACTGCTTACCTAGATACGTACATAAAAAGTTCAGTCAACAGTACAAAGCTACAATTGGTGCTGATTTTGTCACCAAGGAGCTTCAGATTGATGATAAACTTGTCACTCTTCAGGTGAGTTCATAGTCTAAGAGTAGTTTGCTGGTTCATTTGCCTTTTACTTGTTTAAGATCCCTATCACCGAGTACATTTTTTGAACTATTTCTCCATTTGCAGATATGGGACACAGCAGGGCAGGAAAGATTTCAAAGTCTTGGAGTTGCATTTTATAGAGGAGCAGATTGTTGTGTTCTAGTATATGATGTTAATGTACTCAGGTCGTTTGACACTCTTGACAATTGGCATGAAGAGTTTCTCAAACAGGTCCTTTCTTTGTTACTTTCACTTATTCTCAAGTTATTCCTGTAGTTTCTTCTGTACCTTTTTTCATAACTCAAACAGAATGTATTGAGTTCCCTGGTTAGGGTGTCAGTTCTAGTTTTTAGAAACTTATTGAAGGTCATGGAGGTAGGGGTCATTGCTTGGTACAATGGTAAAATCTCAATCTGACAAGTGTAACAACATGGTTTGAGACTGAGAATGGCCACATCTTGCAAGGAAATGCCAAAGGTTAGGTCTGTATTCAATCCACTCATTCCAAGACCCTGGATAGTTAGGACCAACATTGGGTAGGGGTGCAACTTGGGCGGGCTTGGATCGGGAATTTGTCAAAATTTGAATGGGCATGACCCATAGGCCCGAACCTAAAGCAGTGTAAAATGTTAACTCAGACCAACCCAAGTTGCATCCTAACATTGGGTTATGACCCCTTGAATGTGGAGGTGGATTGGATTGTGCATTGCTTTTCCATAACAAAATATTTAAAGGGTTTACATGTAATAATGCAGAGGATTTATGAGAAGATATGAAAACATTGAAGGTGCCAAGTAGCATGTTGGTAAGGTCTCTGGCTGGTTGTAGCATAGACTTGGAGTTGAGTCCTGGCTTAACCAGGGGCTGTGGGGTTTGGGGTTTGGGAA